TGTTAGTATGCTTTGACGCTGAAGAAAAAACTCCCTACGTGCCGCTCACAAAATTTCATAGTATGACTATGAAATTTTGTGAGCTAAAGTGAAGCTTAATCATTCCTTTTTCTCTCAGCATATTTACACAATGAAATAAATGAATAGAAAATTTCAAAAACCTCCTCCGAACATCTAATTAGTCCTTTAACTGTCGATTAGGATCAGAGGCAAATATGTAGAATTGTAAAAACGGTCGAAATGTCGACACAACCTTTTTATCGCGTGAACTTCCTTCCACTAGCTCAAATTATCCCATAACTCATCACTGAGATACAAAAGGCGACTCTTTAAGAACGTACGTGAAAATTGTATAATGAAACAAATGTTTTTCAGTGCAACGTCTGTCGCAATCCTGCTTATTTAAGTCTCTGAAAATAAAAACAAAAACAAAATAAACCAGAACATAACAAAATTATAAATTTCTCCCCCTAAACATGTCAATAAACTGTTTCAATGGGATAAGTTTCGATATTTATTTGAATAGACAAAACAGAAAGCTTTAAGCCTCTCCTGGGAAACCATACAGGTTACACCTGCAGCCACTTCAAAAACAATACACTGCATGGTGGTACATATAACACAATCTAAGAACAGCGAACCTTCGTGAGAATTTCGCAATTTTAAAGAAGTGCGTTTGAAAGCGCAACTACCTTATATTCGAGATCCTACCTATAAAAAAGAAAAGACCAGACATTAACCTTACAGAACATTATTCAATATCATAGTATTCAGTCATGGCTTGTAGTTTTGCTTGATCGCAAGTTCTGTTTAGAAAATGAAGGTAAATGTATTAAATGTATTTTTTTTCTTGTTGCTTTTTTTTTTCTTCATTTATATTCTAACTTTACTTGCAACACTGAAACTACTTGAGTTATGAGAATCAATTGAAAAGCCACCATAATAAAGCTTCTAACAATAATACCGATAGACACCCACAGCTTGCTTACTGATATAAACCGGCATAAATTACTAAATATATGAAAATCATATATGTGAACTGCGTTGAAATTGATTAGTATGGAAGCGACCTTCGAAATATTGAACACTACTTAAGCAGTAGTGAAATTAAGGCCTGAAAAAAGTCAGAATATCTCCATGAGGTGACTGACGTCCATCATAACAATTACTTAATGCAATGCCTAAAGTTAATTTACGTAGATGGAAATAGATCTCTAATTCATCAACGTTAATTGTCTCTGTTTTACATCACACTGAGTCTTCAGAAGCTCCAGGCGAGAGGCATCTTGCATGCAAGTAACGCGGTGCACGATTTTACATTTTGGTAATTTGGCGGGAGTATTTTTGCAACATGTCTCGCATCCTGTCTCTCGGCACTTTCATTGTGCTATGCTCTCTGATGTGTGCTATGAAGTGCGAAGAAGGTGGGTAGATTTTTTAATCAGTATAAGAGGAAAGTTTTTAAAACTGTTATTTTATAATATGTTTAAAGTGGGAATATACAAAAGAAATTCATTGCGAGTGTTCTATTGTGACTATTACAAAAATTCCAAGGTTTTAAAAATGTTCTACTTTCTTATAGGAGAGTATAATGTTTATAAAGCTATTATGAGGAGACGTTAATCTTCAAAGACAAGTGTGATCTACCTCACGCAAGTTTTTTTAAGCCGGCGGTTGGGATAAAAGATCACGTAGTTTAGGCTATAAATTCGGCATTTTAATTTGTTGGTATAACAACAACAACAACTTTATTTTTTTCACCCCAAAATATACAAGAAAGAAGAATGTATAATAATAGTACAGACAATGATAGGGGCGCTGGCTGCCCGAAATAACCTAAGAGTTAAAAATGCCAGGCAGCCAAAGCCATGGTATGCTTTGACGCTGAAGAAAAAACTCCGTACGTGCCGTTATTGTCATAAGTATGACTATGAATTTAGTGAGCGAAAGTGAAACTTAATCATCCATTTTTCTCTCAGCATATTTACACAACGAAATAGATAAGTAGAAATTTCAAAAACCTCACCCGAAAGTCTAATTAGTCCTTTAACTGTCGCTTTAAAAATGATTATCGATTAGCATCAGACGCAAATATGTAGAATCGTAAAAACGGTCGAAATGTCGACCAACCTTTTTATCGCGTAAACTTCCGTCGATTACACCTAAATCTAAACTTGGAGATAGCTCCTTCTGAAAGAAATTTAATCGCTTTTGGCTTCAAATTAACGAGTAAGGAATTCGTTTCGATAAAACAACGTAATGTCCTTTAGTTATCTAAAGACTGGAATTCAAAAGGAACACAATCCTCTCGAAAGAAATAACCGAATTTAGTTTTGTCTCATCTTTTTATCATCATTATCTGTATTCTACACTGACATAATGAACTTGGAAAAACACTGGGACTTTCATGAAAGCTGCCCACTAATTTTTTCTCCAATCTACATCCTAGATCCTAAATTGTTTGTCTTGATACTAACTTTTCGTGTTTTGAAATATCAATTCTTCAACAAAATTTGCATCTTTCCCCTTTGACAGGTACAGAACTGAAATATCACCTATCAATTATTTACAAAAAGAATACACTTATGCCTTAATTGAAATCAGCCCCATGTCAAAACTTGGGTGACTTCTGCGAAGTAGTTGAAAACACGAGCTCAAATTATCCCATAACTCATCAAATATGAAAGGCGACGCTTTAAGGACAAACGTGAAAATTATAAAATGAAACGAATCTTTTTCAAGGCAACGTCTGTCGCAATCCTGCTTGTTTAAGTCTCTGAAAATAAAAACAAAAACAAAAAAATAAAACATAACATAACAAAACTATAAATTTCTCCCCCTAAACATATCAATAAACTCTTTCAATGTGATAAGTTTCGATATTTATTTGAAATTAAGAAAAAACAGAAAGCTTTAAGCCTCTCCTGGGAAACCATGCAGGTTAAACCTGCAGCCACCTCCAAAACAACACATATCATAGTGGTACATACAACACAATCTAAGAACTGCGAACCTAAGCGAGAATTTCGCAATTTTAAAGAAGTGCCCTAGAAAGCTCGACTATCTTATACTCCTCCTTATAAAAAGAAAAGACCAGACATTAACCTTATAGATCAATATCAGTTTCGATTTATTCGAGGTTAACTTTATCAATTCATGTAAGACCATAAAGCCTAGGGAGGGCCATCCATCCTCGTTAAGTTTAAGCAACGACATGATTTCGAGTGCAATTTGATGTAAATAAGCACGGGTAGATATTTTTCAATGACAAAAAAATTACACGAGCCCATAAGGCAAGAGCAATTTGTAGTCTGAATATCTACAAGTGCTTATTACACTAAATTGCAGGGGGAATCATGTTATTACTTGTTATAATGTATATGGAAAAAACATCGCAGAAGGTCAAGAAAGACGAAATTTTGAAAGCGTGCGCGCGCTATTTGTAATTTGCATTCGTGCTACAACTTTACACCCGCGTTATAACTTTGCACTAGTGCTACATGAAAATGCACTCGTTTTCAGCCAATTAGAAGAGCGAAATTTTTTCATGTACATTATTGATACAGTTATTTATTTACACCACTTACCCAGACTCCATTCGGGTGAAATATGTATGAATACAAAGCACACTTTCAAGCTTTGTTCCAATTAAAGAAATCATTGATGAACCTTAACATTTCTAGACATCTTTACACGTAGTACATTCATTATGCCAATCCCTTTCAATTTTGACAATGATAACAGGATGTAACCAAAACGTCATGTTATACTTTTTTCGTTGATTTAAATTCCTACACTCTTTGTATTACGTTGATTACAGTTTCCTTTACGAATTTCTCTACCTCCATCCCTTCCCTATTATTTACCTTTACCACTAAATCCGGTGCCCTTGTCAAATAGAGCATTCCCTTGTAACTGGTGGTATTATGTTCTTCCGATCGGAAAATATATTATTCATCATTCTTTTCTATAGACCAATGTCGTCAACTGGAGTTCAGAGCTGCCCTTGCATTTAGAGGAAAACGGCTGCTTAACCACAAGATAAAAGAAGTTTACAACGTCGCAAAGGACTTCTGTGGAGCATTGTGTTTCATGGAACCCAACTGTATCAGCTATAATATACTAGTATCCAATAATTCTCCCTCGATCACCAAATGCGAGATGAATAACGCTACACATTTTGAACACTCGAGTGATCTGGTGTCATTTCCAAACAGCACCTATCGTGGATCCAAGGTATGTTTATAGCTGCAATGATTAGGATTATAAAGGTCCTCTTTTGGCCTATCCGTATGTCTTCAAGTTTTTACTGGTTTGTTAACATCTTTTTTAATTTTGACTGTAAATATATAAAAACCATCTATGTGAACTGCAGTTAAAGAAATAAATTTGAAAGCGATCTTCGCATTAATAACACTACTTAAGCAGTGGTAAAAATAAGGCCTGAAAAAAATTTAGGCTTGTACGGGATTTGAACCCAAGACCTTTGCGACATCGGCAGCGCTCTACCAACTGAGCTAACAAGCCAACTGGGAGCTGATCCGCAGTTCACATATATAATTTTCATATATTTACAGTCATTTATTCTTCCCTTCACGGATTTATTTAGAACCAACATAATTACCAGTTCCCAGTTGGCATACACGACAGTTAGGTTAAGTGCTTTTAACTATCGTCGTCTGCAATTAACGTGATTGGTAAAGAGAAGTAGCTTACAAAATAACGCTTATCGTTATCTCACCGAAGTTTCAATATTTACAGAACGTCAAAGATACGTTTATAAGCATGACTCAGTTGTAACCCTGATTGAATTCGATTGCCCTTTAAATATGGAGAGTATGGTCCTAGTAAATACAGTTTAAGGACCGGATGAAAAAAACACAAGTCTTGAGCTGCTGTAATTTTAATTCTTAATCTTATAATTGTTTATATTATTTCCCTTTCCTTCATTGACTTTTAATTACTTGTGACCGATTTATTCACAAAGCAAGTACTTCTATATTTAATTTGTTTTGTTGCAAAAAAAAAGCACGTGCTGTTAAAGATTCATGGAAGTATTTCCAACACTTGATGATCATTTTAAACTCTCGTTGTTTCATTTACCTGCCCTCAGAATGGCCATGTCAATGTACCACCTTACCATCCCCTTCCCGCCTTGTAACTGCGTAGACATATCCTTCACTTGTCCTTTTTTTGCTTCTTTGTAAAGAACGCTTGCATAAAGAAGCCATGCCCGAGTAATGAGATCTGCCAAGCTGGTTTTTCCAGTGAGGGGTACAGATGTGTCTGCATACCGGGTTACACGGGTGAAGATTGCACTGAAGGTGAGGCAGATATATGTGTTCAATATCTACGTGTTAGCAGTCACTTAATGATTAGGAAAGTCGGTGACCGTTGTTTTAGATAAATTCTTTAGTATTCTCCTCATGCACCTTTTTTTTTCACCGAGGATAAAGAAAGAGCAGCGGTAAACTATGAGAAAAAACTAGTGAAGCGTGCAACCCTGCCAGTAACTCGACGCGTTTACCGTTCCTGACGGTGCGACTTCTTTCATTAAGTTCAAAATAAAAAGTGACTTAACTGCTAAGAGGACGTTAAAGTTGGTGATTTCACGATTTTTTTCTGTATGAGGTGGCTAAGAAAGGTACAAATTTTATAACGCACGTGCTGCACAGTTGTTTTGCTCATTAGATCTTTTGTTTCGCTAGGTTTACTTTACTGTCGTCGTCAAGGTTTTCTTAAAGTCCCTAATTAATAAAAGATATGCAGATCCAAACTCCTTGTGTTCTGTGCTTTATTAGAAGTCTGTGGTCTCGAAATATCTGTAATTTAATTTCTCCACGATCCTTTCTTTAAGACGTTGATGAGTGTGATCTGGGAGAACACAAATGTGATTCAAATGCTGAATGTATAAATACCCGTGGATCCTACGACTGCAAATGTAAAGAAGGATTCACAGGAGATGGCCTAACGTGCAAAGGTAAGTGTTGACTGATAATCACCAAATAGGAAGTACATTATCCATCAGCCATTCTACAAGCAAGCCGCACCGCATTCCTGCCGTAACACAAGAAGGCCTATGAGCCCTATTCCTCAACTTCTACATGCTTGTGCATGTGGAACTTATTTCATGGTTTAAAAAATGACTGTTAGAAATAAAGGAAAAATGTTAAGAAGTTCATGTAATCTTTTGATGTCACCCATTCCTCCAGACCTCTTAAGAATGCCTTTGTGTTACTTTCAGATTTTGACGAGTGTAATTTGGATGATAATAATTGCACCAAGGGTGGCGCCAATTGTACAAACACCGTAGGGTCATTCAACTGCACCTGCCAGACTCGATATTTCTGGAATGGCATGGAATGCCAAGGTTTGTTTACTCCAGTATTATTTAGCTCTATGTGAACGTCGTTTCAAGGAGTCTTTCTGGCTGTCTCTATATCTTGCTCTCTTTCTCTTGGTCCTATTCTCTCTCTCTCTCTGTCATAATACCTGTCATTGGACTGTCTGTGTGTCTGTCTTTTTGTCTGTGTGTCTGTCTTTTTGTCTGTCTGTCTGTCTGTCTGATTATCGTTCATTTGGTTCGTCTGTTTATTTTTCCATCTGCCCGTAGTTCTTTATTAACATTAGAGCGTAGAAATCGGATTTCAGTTTCATTTTCATTGTGTGATAAGAACAATAACGGAAATAACTGACAAGGGCATGTTCTCCGACAAAAAGATAATTTTTTTGGAAATGTGAGCCTTGATTTGATCAGGGGTATTAGTTGATCCTGAGTTACTTGTTGCGCCAATACTAACAAAAAGTACCAAACATGAGAGGTACTCAAATGTATAATTTGCTATTGAAAGGTTATCTCATGTTAGCTTAATTAAGCCTTTTTGAGGTGAGCGCTTAGCTGTGAATTCAAGTTCATAGTTCCTTTAAACATCCTTTTTTTAGTTTGAAACTGTCATCTCCGAAAAAAAAATTATTATACTTGTGCGCCATTTGGAAAGAAAAGCGAAAATCACAGGATAAGAAATTTGCAGGCGGTAGGCGCTCACCGAACTGCATACTTTCCCTTCTAGGTAAGGAAATGTATTTGCGAAGTTGGTGGAAATTTACCTGCTGTTTTTTCAAAAAGTGCATGGTATACCTGTAAAGCTTTAAGAATCTTGAACTGCAATTAATTCTTGAAAGTTCTAACTTTGATCAACACTATTATCATTTCCTCTTTGAATTTTATTTGATTATCTAGCCGATGGTTGTTACAACTACACAAATCTGATAGAGCCTACCAGAAAAAGCAGTTACGTAACACCCCCCCATGGTCCTTCTCTGTGTGACAATCAGCTCATTGAGGGATGGCATCGTTTTGTGGGAGCCGCAGGATCAAAAATGCCAACAACGCGTGTGCCAGCATACAAATGTGGTACAGACTGGTCAGGTTGGTTGGACGGTGCTCATCCCACAGTGGAAGATGGTGAAGTTAAAAGAACGGTCTGCTTTAGTAATCGTTCTACAGGTTGCACAGGCAGGAAAAATATTTTAGTGAAAAATTGTGGATCCTTCTATATCTACTATCTCCATGCAACATTATGTCCTCGGCGTTACTGTGGGACTAATGAATGAGGGGCTAAAAAGTTGGAAAAAAAAAAGAAATTGAATGTGATGGATTTATCTTATTTACCGCTCTTCAAGTTGAGATTGACTGAAAGTCAGTTTGTTTTATCATTTCATTGTATGTCATTTTCTCGTTTGTTAGTCTCTCCCGAAGTCACAGTTATCGTCGAAGTTTCGCCTAAACTGCTTTTCAACGTTACTTTTCCTAATTTGTGTCGAAAAGGCTGAACTGATGAAATGATGAACCGATTATCGAAAATAATCGATTGCGAAAGAAGGCGCAAAGACCTCGACATTTTACTTTACTTTAAAAAAACAGAGACCAGAAAGTGTTTCAACGATATTGCCTAGGTGACTAAGCATTTGAGCAGAAAAGATTGAAAATGTTTTTGGTTTAAGAGTACATAATCTTAGCATAATGATATCCTTACAACAATTATTTACGGATGGTCCGTCTTAATGTCGAGATAATTCTGTGCTGTTTAAAAAGTCACAGAAAGTAACTTTTCTTTTTGAATGATGGTTCGATAACTGCTCGTTTCATTTCTTTATTTTCAAGCTAGTATCAGACCCTAACTTTTTACACATACAGCGGAAAAAACACTGCAGACGAACCTCTGTAATACAAAAACGTTACGGTCAAAGCAAAGTGTTCGTACAAGAGATATGTCTGTTTCATTAAGTTTAGTACGGTGTAACTCTCAAGATTGGAATGTCTATAGCAACATGAACAGGCACACGAGTGCTTCTTTTCTCTGAGTATAAAGAGACCATGATTGTCTGACGCTCAGGGAGCGTTGTCCTTATTAAAGAGGGTCTCTATCAGGAAGGTTCCTAATTATAAAGAGAACATAGCAGAATTTGATCTGGATATATAAAATTATCCGCCGTACTTATTGGCGAGGTGTTGGTATTGCAGAGTTGTCCGTAAGGAAAGGTTCAACTGTACCTTAGGTGCTTTTGTATTTAACAAAAAGCTAACTTTTTCTCAATATATTAATAACATCAAAAAATCTAGGCCCCCACGTGTTAGGTAAGTAATTTTTCAATTTGTAGATTATTTCATCTGTTATCCTGATCCCTCCTATCTAAACATCTATCTCGCCATAGGTTCAACGTTTCAACCAATTTTTTAGAGGATTGCTAAAGTTACAACCAATCGTGGGGGACAAACTTAAAATTAAATTATGTCCATACAGACGAGGAAATGAAAATGCGAAAAATACTTTATCATAGATAGATTTGTTACATTGTACGATAAGGTAGCACACTACCGGGTATATCAGTTTTTCTTAAAGGGTTGGAGTAATTTGATGCATAATTTTAAGCCGTACTGGAATTTCAGCTAATACTTGAGCTTGACGTACTCATTTCGAATCAAAATAAATTACAAAGATTCGTTTTCAGCTACGTTAAAAAAAGAAACATTTAAAAGTACATTCAATCCATGGCTCAAATCGTTTATTCAAACTTGATCAGGGGCAAGTATTAAACACATACTTTTAACTTAAGAGGCCCTCTGTTTACGTAAGTTCAGGCAGCATATTTTCTGCAATTAATGGATTGAAAAAATCACGTTTAAAGATAAAAAAACGAATTAACTCCATTTTTTAACAACAGAATTGAGATAAAGGTTTTAAAAATATTATAAAAAAATAAATTTTAAAAAAGGTATGAAAAGTGCAGGGCTTAAGTGAATAAGTACAAAAACTAGGTGATTTTCGTCGTTTTACATTTATATGGTAATTTAGGTAACACATCGGATTCTGATTAAACTTAACGCTTACTAAGTACCCTAAATCTAGCGGTCACCGAAATCGTTTTAACGTTTGAACTTTTTTAGACAAGTGTATTATGTTTGAAGAATATTGAACCATTCTTAAACCCTTCACATTATTGGATCGGTATGCATATTCTCTATACTGATCTCTACACATCTGCAATAGAACTTACATGGAGAATTTGGTTCAACAATTCAGAGCTTCTCTAATGGTGAATCATTTCCCTGATTTCATTACTTTTATGAGTGATCATTTTCCTTGTTCTCATGACCTCAACGTTTGATTTAAAGTGTTATTGTAAGGAGAAAAAAGATATCAATCACTCCTAGGGATTAAAAGGTTAAGAGAAACCGATTTAGAGTAGAATTGAATGTGGTACATAACTCCGGCATCGTAAAAACAAAGCTGCAAACGTTTGCGAGCGATCTCAAGTTCTTTCTTAAAATAATGGTAAATAAAATGCATTGTTTTCTTGTTACGTTTTTTTTTCGTTTATAACTTAACTTGCAATACTGACACTACTTGAATACTGAGGATCAATTGAAAAGCAACCATAGCTTACACTTAGAAATAGACACCCACAGCTTGCATACCGATATACCCTGGCATAAATGACTGTAAATATATTAAATCATATATGTGAACTGCGGAGAAAGAAATAAGTATGAAAACGACCTTCGCAGTATTGAACACATCTTAAACAGTTGTGGAACTACGGCCTGAAAAAAATCAGGCCTGCACAGGACTTAAACCCTTTACTTCTGCGCTACCGACTGAGCTCAGAGCCAACTGGGGACTGATCATTATGTTGGTTTAAAATAAACCCGTGAAGTGATAAATAAATGACGGTAAATATATGAAAATCATAGATGTGAACTGCAGAGAAAGAAATATTTTAACTGCTGCGGTAAACAAAGCAATTTCAGCCAGTACCTCGTGGGTACTGTATCCTTGCACAAGCAATTGCAACCTAAAAACCTAGGGCGTTGCTTCAGGATTTTATCATGCAGTGCAGAGACATAACCCCATGTAGCACTGGTGGACTTCAGCCGCAAGGACCAAGACCTGATAGAAAATGGCCGGAAACCATACTCGTTATGAACCAAACATTTGAGAGATTTCTGGTCATTTTCAAAGGCAAATATCGACCTTAAACGGTTATTTAGCTCAAAAGTAATTCACAAATCAGTTTTAGGACTTGCTAATAGATAAAAATAAGATATTTAAGAATCACCTTTAATAACTCAGATAACCTTGACGGCTCGATTAGAAAATCACCAAACGCCGAAAACGATAGGAGGTGAAGGGGAGGGGAGGGGATTACAATAAGGCTTACTTCACGTGGCGAAAGGGGTGTGTGTGGAAACAACCGATTTCAAAAATTTATCTACGAATTAAATCTCACAGTACAAGAGCCTGTATGTACACATAAACAGCCGCAGTTGATGCTCTAAAATTGGCGTCAAGCATCCGTCGTTTTGAACTTGATTAGAATTTTCGATGTACTCTCAAATTTTTAACAACTCCTTCCACTCACAAGCGGAATTAAATATGTCTGAAACCATGCATATCATCTGGGAATGGTTCTCCCTAAATTCATGTCAACGAGCTATGTCAGTTAAAACTTTTCACCAACGCGGCGCGGTAAATACCCACCGCCAGTCACCGACACAGAGGTAAATAGTGTGGACTAAAACAGTGAGATAATAAAACACAAAAATAGGGTTTAACTCATTTATTCCTGTAACGATTATAATTTGTTCGGACACAAATCTCGCGCGAGTTGCGGGGAAGGTGAATAACTAAGGATATTCTGAGATTGGGTAGCCAATCAGAGCGCGCCTTCGACAGTTTTAGTTTATACTTATCGTTTACATCATTCTCTAAATACTTTGAGCACTTTGAGCACACTCATAAATCAGTGGATATTTTTTGAACGGCACTTTAGACAATACTGTAACATTCAAACATAATTATTGGAATTAACGAAAGTTTAAATTTTGAAATTAATGAAGCGTGCGTTTGGTTCCTGAAACAAATTTTTATACTTCGCTAAATGTCAGTTGAGAAAATAATAATAGTGTACCTCAAAGATACACCGAAAACATCTCTATCTTCAGGCAGAAATTTTTTACCTATAACGTCACTATTCCATCTCTAAGGACTACAGGCATATCCGTCCATTCTTGTGATTTTTCACAAGTATCTTCAACTAACCAACATGCAGGTCCACTGGCTCTATATCACCGTCGCTGAGTGTCAATGGAACACTGATTTTCACCGGCTCCGACTGCTTCACATCATGCGAACACGAAAAATTAATAATCGGACCCAAAAACAATGCTTCTACGGTGTGGTCAATGCTTACCGCTTCTTGGTCCTCAAGTTTAGAGAAAAGACAATCACATCCGACGGTTGAGTTGAAAAACTATGCTTTTGATAGCCAGCAGTGGTTTCCCAAATGAAATAAGAACATTAAAAAAGAAAAGAGTTATGGGAGTTTAGCCTAAGGAGCAGAAATTGTGTATTTAATTTTTGTTGACCTTTCACACTTTTTACGAACAAAATGACAGCTCATCATCTACAAATTTTATTCTAGGGCCGTTCTAAGTTTCATACTCATCCACCACACTAAGACAAAGTGATTCTCACCTTATGCAAAACTACGCTGTTACTTCAAGCTCACCACAAACGATTAATTCAACTCAAACAGTGTCAGGCATCTAAGGCCTAGTTCAAACGTCGATCTTTACATGTACTGAACCTAATTGCAATTTGGGTCGACTCGAATAATAAAGAGCGGCAGTTGATTCAAACGTCGATCCGAATTTAGTCGATCCTAATTGCAAAACTGAACATAACTCCATTGTAGTCAGCGGTTAATGCCTATCAAAATGACGGAAAAAAATGCGGGAAGCACAACTTGTGGAAATGAAGAGTTTGTTTTTCTTGCAAATGCGATTAAGGAGGGTAGAAAAAGGTGACTCAAGATGCAGTTAGCATTAAACAACCTTGCTGCCAGGAGAAGACGAGTTTTGAATTTGGCTTGCCTTCTATTATTGCTTATTTCCCATAGGAACATACAAAAGTACTCCTTACACGTAAGACAGGTATATTTTGTGGTTTTAAAACAAGAGGAGCACGAGCCTTCCTCCTTTCCCGCCATATTGTTTGAATGATTCGAAGGCTTTCGTGCATGGCACGTAAGCGAACTTTCTTGAATTGCGGGTAAAACATAATTATTTTAACGTATGTATAATGTATGCATTAAGTTCGGTACATGTAAAGTACGACGTATGAAACAATGCCGATCTTTTACTAGTCGGATAGAACGGCACTGTCGATCCGAATACAAATCTGCCGATCCTAATTGATTCAAACGTCGATCTTTACATGTACTTAATAGAAACGTTAGGTTCGGTACATGTAAAGATCGACGTTTGAACTAGGCCTAATTTCTCCTTACATTGTTAACCTAAATAAAAAAATTAAGAATACAAGAATAATAGCACAATATTTGTGAAACGAATTTTAGCATATATTTGTATTCTGTGCGTTTTTAGATCCGTTTATTGGTAGATGTCGTATCGGGTTGGGCGTTAACTAGTATGGTATGTAGTCTCTTGAGTTTTTCTCATTCGTGAGTATTTAAGGAGTGCTTCGTCCTTAATTTTTTTCTCTCAGCGTGTTACCAGCACTGATTTAGTTTACTTTTCCTGTTTTCGCTAATGTTTCTTTTCTTTTTCAGTGCTGGGATTTTAGCCATTTAACGCGTAATTGTCCAAAATCTGCGTCTAGTTCATCATCGTCGGACCGTCCGCCCACCCAGTTTTGACTATCTGTGGGCACTGTTTCTGACATGGATGTAAGCATTGTGGAGACTGATAAGTACCTGTTAATTATTGATTATTTGGGTAATTGGGCCGAGTTTATCGAGGGCTCCCTCCCTTCCACAGCGTATTGCTTGTTATCTGACTGCTTACTTTGATGAAAAGAACGCATTTTAGCGAGTTGTCCATTTCGAGGTTTTCAACGTACATAAGAAAAGCCCAAGGCTGACACTCCATTTCCGAACGCTCGATCTGAGAAGCGAAAAATTCCAGCGCAAAATGACCGGGCGGCCACAAATCCGATGCAGAATCCCAACACATATACTGTAGTTTTATTTCAATTCAACACAAACTCAATCTTCCCCGTGCAACCGACGCTTAGCCGCAGTTTGCTTCAAAAATTTCCAGTTTAGAGGTTTCTAACAGCCCGCGTCCACATCAACCTTGACACATGACCGTTGAAAACCGGCTAGGTAACCTTGCCTCCTTTTTAAACTGAGCCTCGCACTGTAACTTGGAAGATGATCATCTCATAGCTGGAGCTTGGGCCGCCTGTGGAGTAATCAGGAATCTTGTACATATCAAGTGCGAATCCTTTGTAGTTTTTTGTAGCTACACAATTTTTATCTTTTCTGAAACTATTCTATTTTAGTCAAAGAATTGTTCGTTTCCTAGATGGAACCTCATTTGTTTTGATCCGATAAACATATATACTGTATTCTGTGATAAGGATTTATGGTTCCTTAATTCAAAACACATTTTGGCTTAGTCTAAAATAAGTTTTTGATAATTTCTCATGTCAAAACATATTTACTATTAATATTATTTATCAATACTCTTATTAATGCTTCTTTGATTTATGGATACATCCCCTCTGAATGGAAATGGGCACTTGAAAATCCTTTGTTGAAGAATGGCAAATCAAATGACATGGATAATTATCGACCGATATCTGTACCACCGACCATATCTAAGGTTCTGGAAAGAGTAGTTCACACGCAGTTATATGATTTTCTGGCTAGAGAAAAGTTATTGAGTCCCTAGCAATGTGGCTTCCGCGAGGGCCGCTCTACTGATTTGGCTGTCTTATCGTTCACTGACAGCATAAGGCGCAGTATGGATCAGGGTCTACTAACTGGAGCAGTTTTCATCGATTTGTGGAAAGCGTTCGACTCAGTGGACCATGACCTGCTACTGGAGAAACTCACTATGGGATATGGAGTCACTGGAAAATTGCTTGGATGGTTTAGGGGTTACCTAACCGATAGACGACAAGTGGTGACAGTCCAAAGTACTCTGTCAGACCCTTGTGATGTTGCTTTTGGTGTGCAGCAAGGTTCAATCCTTGGACCATTGTTGTTTGTGCTGTTCATCAATGGTTTACCTACTGCTAGCAAATGTAATATATTATTATACGCTGATGATGCGGTCGTTTTTGCAGCCCACAAGGACATTGAAATCTTGGAGGAAACTTTGAATGCCGAACTAGACGAAGTGAATAAATGGACTCTCAGTAATTTTCTTTTTATCAACAAAAGCAGAATTCGTAATTTTAGGAACTGATGCTAGGCTTTCTAAAGCTACTGACACAGTAGTTATCAAAATAGGTGATTATGAAATTAATAGAGTTTATGATTTTAAGTATTTAGGCATCGTTCTTGACGATAGTCTTACGTGGTGGGTGTTTTAGGGCGCCTCAGAAGGAATATCACTATACATGCAGCTTTCGAGATGTATAATTCATTAATTTTGCCCATTTTTGAATATTGCGATGTTGTTTGGTCCAGCTGCAATAAAGCAGACATGGAAAGTTTTGAATCTTTGCAAAGGCGGGCCTCGAAAATTATAGTTAAATCTAAATGTGGTACAACATCTACCGACTATCTTAAATTTCAGAGTTTAGAAGATCGCCGTAACGCTCATATTTTAGGTTTAGTGAAGAGGTGTAATAATGTACCACAGTTTTAAAAGAATTATTTTAAGTTGAATAAGGAAGTTATTTCAAGAGAAACAAGAAGAAGCAATTTTATATACTTACCTGCAGTAAGAACTGAGACCGCCAAGAAAATTTTTTATTATAATGGCTCAGTTGTGTATAATAATTATTTAGTAAATAAGAATTAATTTTAATTGTTGTACTGTACTATTATTAACTCATAGTTACTTAGTTTCTTATTATTTATTTTGAACTTTTTATTAGTTTTAATCTAGGGCTCCTATTGATAACAGATATACTTTTAAGTATTCTGAAGGGATTACCCTAGTTAAATAAAGGTTTGCTACTGCTACTATACTCTGGTTAAGAATTTATGGTTCCTTGTTTCAAAACACATTTTGGCTTAGTGTGAAATAAGTTTTTGACAATTTATTGTGTAAAAACATATTTACTGTATTGAAAAAGCGAATTTTACCAACGCTGCTGCGCTAGTTTCGGCCTTTCTTCTCTAATTTGGGCTTTTCAAGGCGCGAGTGCATTCAAATCTCCCTCTTCAATGCTAATGAATAATTTATGATGTCCTGGCATTCTGCGCGATGATTCTGTGCTGTCTAAAAAGTAACAGGAAGTAAATTTTCCCTTAGAATAATGGTGCGACATTTTCTCGTTCCATTTCTTTAATTTCGAGGTAGTGTTAGACCCTAACTATTCACACTTTCAGCGGAAAAAACACTGCAGTCGAACTCCTGTAATACAAAAGAACTTATGGACGAAGTAAAATGTCAGTATAAGAGATTTGTCCGTTTCATTATTAAGTTCAGCACGGTGTAACTCTTAAGATTGAAGTGTCTATAGAAACATGAACAGGCATACTCGTGCTTCTTTTCTCTGGGTATCAAGAGACCATGATTGTCTGAGATTCAGCGTGCGTTGTCCTTATTAGAGAAGGTCTACATCAGGATGGTTCCTTATTATAAGAAGAAGATATCAGAATTTGATCTGGATCTAAAAAAATTTCAGAGGTGTCCGTAAGGAAAAGTTCAACTGTATCATAAGTGCTTTTGTATTTAACAAAAGTTCAAAAACTCTAGGTCCCCACGTGTTAGGTAAGTCAGTCTTCAATTTGTAGATTATTTCATCTGTTATTCTGATCCCTCACCATAAGTTCAACGTTTCAACTAATTTTTTGGAGGATTGCTAAAATGACTGAAAAAAAACGTGGTGGACAAACCTAAACTTATATTCTGTCAGACGAGGAGAGCAAAATGTGAAAGATTCGTTGAGATTTACATTGTACAATAAGGTAGCAACCCCAATTGTGTATATCAGTTTTCCGTAAATGGTTGGAGTAGTTTAATGCATAATTTTAAGACAAAAGGTAATTTCAGCAAATACTTGAGCTTGACGAACTTATTTCGACTGAAAATAAGTTACAACCGCGATTTGGTTGTCGGCTTGGAAAAAGTGGTGATTAGAGGAGGGAGTTGCTAAGGAAATCGAAAATTAGGAGCACAATTAGAACACTCTGCTCGAGCGATTCTACGCCGAAGTTAAAAACAAACATGGTTAAACCTCGCAGACGACGATTTCATTCAATCGAAAGTGACTCGGACACGGACTGAACAATTCCTTGAACTGTTTAGCCGGACTTTGAACTTTTTTGCGCCTTAAAGATGTGAAAACATCTTCGTATTTTATTGTTTAGATCGTACGCGATTGTTTTGACCGAACGCACAATATCATTTGCAGGGTTTGAATAAATTATTTTTGCAGTTGATGCGCGCGCTTTGCTTCTGCATAATTATGATAAGCTATCTCGTAGTTTTTCATGTGTATTATTAATACGTATCACATTATTTTTCTCGTAAATAAGCACTTGTAAATTTTGTACATTTTTTCAAAGACCGCAAAATTCAGTCGCCCTACGGGCTCGTGCAATTTTGTTAGTCTTTAAAAAAATTTACTCCTGCCTATTTATTCAAAATTGCACTCGAAATCATATGATTACCTATACTAATATAATAACTTGACTGACTGATCCTACTTGAATAATGAGGATTAATTGAAAAGCCACCATAATAAAACTTCTAACAATATACACCCACAGCTTGCTTACTGATATACACTGGCCTAAATGACTAAATCATTTAAATCATATATGTGAACTGCGGTGGAAGAGATAAGTATTGAAGCGACCTTCGCAGCATTGAACACTACTTAAGCAGTGGTGAAATTAAGGTCTGAAAAAAAGCCAGAATATCTCCATAAGGTGTCTGACGTCTACCATAACAATTACTTAATGCAATGCCTAAAGGTAGTTTACGCAGATGGAAATAGATCTCTAATTCATAAACGTGAATTGTCTCCGTGGTACATCACACAGAGTCTTGTTCCAGGCGAGAAGCGTCTTACATTCTAGTAACGCGGTGCACGATTTTACACTTTGGTAATTTTGCAGGAGCAGATTGGCAACATGTCTGGCATCTTGTTTCTTGGTACCTTCACTGTGCTGTGCTCTCTGATGTGTGTTGTGTAATGTAAAGAAGATGGGTAGATTTTTTATTAATATCAGGGAAAATTTTTAAAACTGGAAATTTATAATGCGTTTGAAGCAGGAATAAACGAAAGTAATTCACTTCGAATGCTCTATTGTTACTATTACCAAAATTCCCAAGTTTTCAAAATGTTCTACCTTCTAATAGGAGAGTACATTGTTTATAAAGCCATTATGAGGATATGTAAATCTCCTAAAAGACAGGTGGGATTTACCTCACGCAAGCTTATCCCAACCGCCTGCTTAGGCAGGCGGTTGGGATAAAAGGATCATGAGGTTTAGGCTATAAATTCGGCACAAATTCATGTTGCACTCTTTTAAATTTGTTAGTATGCTTTGACGCTAAAGAAAAAACTCCCTACGTGCCCCTCACAAAATTTCATAGTATGACTATGGAATTTAGTCAGCTAAAGTGAAACTTAATCATCCATTGTTCTCTCAGCATATTTACACAACGAAATAATTAAATAAATATAAAATTTCAAAAACCGCCCCCGGACATCTAATTAGTCCTTTAACTGTTGTTTTGAAAATGATTTTCGATTAGGATCAGAAGCAAATATGTAGAATTGTAAAAACGGTCGAAATGTCGACACGACCTTTTTATCGCGTGAACGAATACACTTAAATCTATATATAGAGATAGCTCCTTCTGAAAAAAATTTAAACGTTTTATGGCTTCAAATTCGTGGGTAAAGAATAAGTTTCGATTAAACAACGAAATAACTTTCAGTTATTTAGAGACTGGAATTCTAAAGAACACAATCATCTCGAAAAAAATAGCCAAATTTAGTTTTGTCTTATCTTTTTATCACCATTATCTGTATTCTGCACTGACATAATGAACTTGGTAAAACACTGGGCCTTTTATGAAAGTTGCCCACGAATAACTCGCGGCGATCTTCGAAATATTGAACACTACTTAAGCAGTAGTGAAATTAAGGCCTGAAAAAAGTCAGAATATCTCCATAAGATGACTGACGTCCATCATAACAATTACTTAATGCAATGCCTAAAGTTAATTTACGTAGATGGAAATAGATCTCTAATTCATCAACGTTAATTGTCTCCGTGGCACATCACACTGAGTCTTCAGAAGCTCCAGGCGAGAAGCGTCTTGCATGCAAGTAACGCGGTGCACAATCTTACATTTTGGTAATTTTGCAGGAGTAGTTTTGCAACATGTCTCGCATCGTGTCTCTCGGTACCTTCATTATGCTATGCTCTCTGATGTGTGCAATGAACTGCAAGGAAGGTGGGTAGATTTTTTAATTAGTATAAGGAGAAAGTTTTTAAAACTGTTATTTTATAATGTGTTGGAAGCGGGAATGAACAAAACAATTCATTGCGAGTGTTCTATCGTGACCATTACAAAAATTCCAAGGTTTTCAAAATGTTCTACCTTCTTATAGGAGAGTATAATGTTTATAAAGCTATTATGAGGAGACGTTAATCTTCAAAGACAGGTGGGATCTACCTCACGCAAGTTTTTTTAAGCAGGCGGTTGGGATGAAAGGCACAAATTTTATGAGTATGACTATGAATTTAGTCAGCTAAAGTGAAGCTTAATCATCCATTTTTCTCTCAGCATATTTACAAAACGAAATATATAAGTAGAAATTTCAAAAACCTCCCCCGAAATTCTAATTAGTCCTTTAACTTTCGCTTTAAAAATGATTATCGATTAACATCAGGAGCAAATATGTAGAATCGTAAAAACGGTGGAAATGTCGACGCAACCTTTTTATCGCGTGAACTTCCGTCGAATACACCTAAATCTAAATTTAATCGTTTTATGGCTTCAAATTCACGTGTAAGGAATTAGTTTCGATAAAACAACTTAATATCCTTTAGTTATCTAAAGACTGGAATTCAAAAGGAACACAATCATCTCGAAAGAAATAACCGAATTTAGTTTTGTCTCATCTTTTTATCATCATTGTCTGTATTCTGCACTGACATAATGAACTTGGAAAAACACTGGGACTTTCATGAAAGCTGCCCACTAAAATTTTCTCCAATCTACATCCTAGATCCTAAATTGTTCGTCTCGATACTAACTTTACGTGTTTTGAAATACCAATTCTTCAACAAAATTTGCATCTTTCCCCTTTGACAGGTACAGAACTGAAATATCACCTATCAATTATTTACAAAATAAATACACTTATGCCTTAATTGAAATCAGCCCCATGCCAAAACTTGGGCGACTTCTGCGAAGTAGTTGAAAACACGAGCTCAAATTATCCCATAACTCATCAGATACAATAGGCGACGCTTTAAGAACAAAGGTGAAAATTATAAAATGAAACGAAACTTTTTCAAGGCAACGTCTGTCGCAATCCTACTTGTTTAAGTCTCTGAAAATAAAAACAAAAACAAAAAAAGAAAACAGAACACAACAAAACTATAAATTTCTCCCCCTAAACATATCAATAAACTCTTTCGATGTGATAAGTTTCGATATTTATTTGAAAAGAAGACAAAACAGAAAGCTCTAAGCCTCTCCTGGGGTACCATACAGGTTACACCTGCAGCCACTTCCAAAACAACACACTGCATAGTGGTACGTACAACACAATCTAAGAACAGCGAACCTAGTGAGAATTTCGCAATTCTAAAGAAGTGCCCTAGAAAGCTCGACTATCTTATATTCCATATCCTCCTTATGAAAAGAAAAGAGCAGACATTAACCTTACAGAACATTACTCAATATCGTAGTATTCAGTCATGGCTTGTAGTTTTGATTGATTCTAGGTTAACTTTACAAATTCATGTAAGACCATAAAATCTAGGGAGGGCCATCCGCCCTCGTTAAGTTTAGGCAACGACATGATTTCGAGTGCAATTTGGTGTAAATAAGCACGAGTATATATTTTTCAAAGACAACAAAATTGCACGAGCCCGTAGGGCAAGTGCAATTTGTAGTCTGAAAAATTTACATGTACTTATTACAAAAAATTGCTGGGGGAATCATGTTATTACTTGTTATAATGTACATGAAAAAAACATCGCAGGAGGTGAAGACAGACGAAATTTTGAAAGCGTGCGCGCGCTTATTTTGCCCTGGTGTTACGACTTTGGACCCGCGTTATGACTTTGCACTCGTGTTACACGAGAATGCACTCGTTTTCAGCTAATCAGAAGCGTATAATTTTTTCGTGTACATTATTAATAAAGTTATTTATTTATAACACTTACCCAGACTCCATTCGGGCGAAATTATTTATATGAATACAAAGCACACTTTTAAGCTTTGTTCTCATTAAAGAAATCATTTATGTACCTTAACATTTCTATATATATTTACATATAGTACATCAATTATGCCAATCCCTTTCAATTTTGACAATAATAACAGGATGTAATCGAAACCTCATGCTATGGTTTTTTCGTTGATTAAATACGTACACTTTCTGTATGACGTTGACTGCAGTTTCCTTTACCAATTTCTCTACCTCCATCCCTTCCCTATTATTTACCTTTACTACTAGATCCGGTGTCTTTGTCAAATAGAGCATTCCCTTGTAACCAGTGGTATTATGTTCTTCCTATCGGAAAATATCATTCTTTTCTATAGAACAATGTCGTCAATTGGAGTTCAGTGCTGCCCTTGCATTTAGAGGAAAACGGCTGCTTAACCACAAGATAAAAGAAGTTGACAACGTCGCAAGGGACTTCTGTGGAGCATTGTGTTTTATGGAACCCAACTGTATCAGCTATAATATATTAGTATCCAATGATTCTCCCTCGATCACCAAATGCGAGATGAATAACGCTACACATTTTGAACATCCGAGTGATCTGGTGTCATTTCCAAACAGCACCTATCGTGGATCCAAGGTGTGTTTATAGCTGCAATGATTAGGATAATAGAGGTCTTCTTTTGGCCTATCCGTATGTCTTTGTTACAATTCATTTTTTTACTGGTTTATTCACATCTTTTTAATTTTGACTGTAAATATATAAAAACCATATATGTGAACTGCAGTTAAAGAAAAAAACTTGAAAACGATCTTCGCTTTAATGAACACTACTTAAACTGTAGTGAAAATAAGACCTGAAAAAATTCAGGCTCGTACGGGATTTGAACCCATGACCTTTGCGATATCGGTGCAGCGCTCTATCCACTGAGCTAACAAACCATGTGGCAATTCATAGATATCATTTTTATAAATTTACAGTTATTTATTCTTCCCTTCACGGGTTTATTTGGAACCAACATAATGACCAGCACCCAGTTAGCATACACGACAGTTAGATTAAGTGCTTTCAATTATCATTGTTTGCAATTAACGCGATTGGTTCTGAGACGTAGCTTACAAAATAATGCTTATCGTTATCTCACCGAAGTTTCGATATTTACCGAACGTCAAAGATACAATTATAAGCATGAGTCAATTTGAACCTTGATTGAATTCGATTGCCCTTTGAATATGGAGAGTATGGTATTAGTAAACGCAGTTTGAGCGCCGGATGAAAAAAACACAAGTTTTTGGGCTGCTGTAATTTTAATTGCTAATCTACGAATTTATTTCAATTATTTGCCTTTCCTTCATTAGCTTTTAATCACTTGTGACCGATTTATTCACAAAATACATGTACATTTTATTTATTTTATTGTAAAAAAAAGCATGCAATATTAAAGTTTCCTGGAAGTATTGCCAACACTTGATGATCATTTTAAACCGCTCTAGTTGTTTCATTTATCCACCCTCAGAATGGCTATGTCAATGTACCTCCTTACCCTCCCTTCCCGCCTTGTAATTGCGTAGATAAGCCTTGACTTGTCCTTTTTTACTTCTTTGTAAAGAACGCTTGCATAAAGAAGCCATGCCCGAGTAATGCGATCTGCCAGGCCGGTTTTTCCAGTGAGGGGTATAGATGTGTCTGCGTACCGGGTTACGCAGGTGAAGATTGCACAGAAGGTGAGGCAGATATACGTGTTCAATATCTAAGTATTAGCAGTCACTTAACGATAAGGAAATTCGGTGACCGTTGTTTTAAATAAATTCTTTAGTACTCTCCTTATGCACTTTTTTTTATTCTTTCGTCGAGGACGAAGAAAGAGCAGCGGTAAACCATGAGAGAAAACTGGGGAAGGAAGCGTTGGGGGGAGGGAGGGGGGGGTAGGTAACGCTAGGTCGAAAGGCGTTTATCCTGAGGAAGATATCCTCATTGCCGCTTCTAGCAATGGAGAACGAGATAAATCCTCTCTGCAATGCAACCCTGCCAGTAGCTCTATGCGTTTACCGTTCCTGACGGTGCAACTTCTTTCATTAAGTTCAAAATAAAAAGTGACATAGTTGCTAAGAGGACGTTAAAGTTGGTGATTTCACGATTTTGTTCTGTATGAGGTGGCTAAGAAAGGTACAAATTTTACAACGCACGTGCTGCAAAATTGTTTTTCTCATTTGATCTTTTGTTTCGTTACATTTTCTTTACTGTCGTCGTCATGGTTTTCTTAAAGTCCCTAATGAATAAAAGATATGCAAACCCTAATTCATTGTGTACTGTGCTTTATTCGAAGTCTGTGGTCTCGAAATCTCTGTAATTGTATTTCTACATGATCCTTTCTTTAAGACGTTGATGAATGTGATATAGGAGAAAACAAATGTGATTCAAATGCTGAATGTATAAATACCCGTGGATCCTACGACTGCAATTGTAAAGAAGGATTTACAAGAGATGGCCTAACGTGCAAAGGTAAGTGTTGACTGGTAATCACCAAATAGGGAGTACATTATCCATCAGCCGTTCTATAAGCAAACAAGCCGTATTCCTGCCGTAACACAAGACGGTCTATAAGTCCTATCCCTCAAATTTTACATGCCTGTGCATGTAGCATTTATTTTATGGTTTAAATGATTGTTAGTATTAAAGGAAAAATGTTTTGAAGCTCATATAATATTTGATGTCACATATTCCCCCAGACCTCTCAAGAATGTCCTTGTGTTACTTTCAGATTTTGACGAGTGTGCTTTGGTTGATAATAACTGTACCAAGGGTGGCACCAATTGTACAAACACTGTAGGGTCATTTAACTGCACCTGCCAGACTCGAAATTTCTGGAATGGCATGAAATGCGAAGGTTTGTTTACTCTAGTGTTATTTAGGCCTACGTGAACATCGTCTTGGGAGTCTTTCCTACTATTTTTCTCTGTCTCTCCCTCTCTCCCTATCTCTCCCTCCCTTTTCTCTTGGTCCGATGCTCTCTCTCTGTCATAATCCCTATTATTGAACTGTCTGTGTGAGTGTCTTTTTGTCTGTCTCTCTGTTTATCTGCACGTTCATTTTGTTCGTCTATTTATTTTTCCATCTGCTTGAAATTCTTTATTAGCATTAAAACGTAGAAATCGGATTTCAGGTTTATTTTCATTCTGTGATTAGAACAGTAACGAAAATAACTGACGAAGGCATGTTTTTCGACAAAAAGATTAATTTTTTGAAATGTGAGCCTTGATATGGATTTGATCTGCGATATTAGTTGATCCTGAGCTGCTTTTAGCGTCAATACTAGCAAAAACTATCAAACATGAGAGGTACTCAAATGCATAATTTGCTATTCAAAGGTTACCTCATGTTAGCTTATTTAACCTTTTTTGAGGTGAACCCCGTAGCTGTGAATTCAAGTTCCTAGTTCCTTTAAACGTCCTTTTTCAGTTTGAAACAGTCATCCCCGAAAAAAAATCGCTATACTTTAGCGCTATTTGGAAAGAGAAGCGAATCGAACAGTGTACTTTCCCTTCTAGGTAAAGAAATGTAATTGCAAAGTTAGTGGAAATTTACCTGCCGTTTTTTTTAAAAAGTGCATGCTATAACTGTAAAGCATTAATAATCTTTAACTGCCATTAATTCTTGAAAGCTCTAACCTTGATAAACACGATTATCATTTCCTCTTTGAAATATATTTGATTCTCTAGCTGATCGTTGTTACAACTACATAAATCTGACAGACCGTGAAAGAAAAATCCATCACATAACACAACCCGGTGATCAACCTCTGTGTGACAGTGAGCTTGAGGGATGGTATCGTTTTGTGGGAGCTGCAGGGACAAAAATGCCAACAACGCGTGCGCCAGCATACAAATGTGGTACAAACTGGTCAGGTTGGTTGGATGGTTCTCATCCTACAGTGGAAGATGGTGAAGTCAAAAGAAGGGTCTGCTTTAGTGATCGTTTTTCAGGTTGCAAAAACAGCTTAAAAATTGACGTGAAAAACTGTGGATCCTACTTTATCTATAATATGCTTCCACCACCAAGTTGTGATTCGCGCTACTGTGGAACTGATTAAACAAGGGCTAAAAAGTTTAAAAAAAATAAATTGAATGTGAAGTACTTTTAAATTCCTTTGTAAATATATCTGTTGTTTTATATTCGTTTAAATTTTAACTGGTCTTGTTAGCGTGCAGTGATTTAGAATGAATGTTTATGATTTTCTCTTATTTACCAATTTTTTGAGTCGAGGCTGACTAAAAGTCATTGTATCTTTTATCATTTTATTGTATGTTATTTTCTCGTTTGCATGTCTCTCCCGAAGTCACGGTTCTCTTCGAAGTATCGCCTAAACTGCTCTTCAACGTGCATGATCATCGATCTGGTCATATGCATGCATTGAAAATTTACTTTTCCTAATTTGTGCCGAAAAGACACGACATTACTGAATATAATCGATCGCGAAAGAAGACATGAAGACCTCGACCTCTTACTTTACTTTTACAAATTAGAGACTAGAAAGCGTTGCAACGAGATTGCCTCAATGACTTATTGATATTAGCCAGCATTTAATTAGAAAAGGATTGTAGCTGGTTTTGGTGTAAGAGCGTATAATCTCTGTCCGCACGACAATTATTTACTGATGGTTTGTCTTAATGTCGAGATAATTCGGTGCTGTTTAAAAAGTTGCAGAAAGTACATTTTCTCTTTGAATAATGGTTCGATAACTGCTCGTTCCATTTCTTTATTTTCGAACTAGTATTAGACCCTAACTGTTTACACTTACAGTGGCAAAAACACTGCAGTGGAACCTCTGTAATACAGAAACCTTCTGGACAAAGCAAAGTGTCCGTATAAGGGAATTGTCTGTTTCATTAAGTTCAGTACGGTGTAACTCTTAAGATTGAAGTTTGTATCGAAACATAAACAGCACACTCGTGCTTCTTTTCTCTGAGTATCAAGATACCATGATTGTCTTAGACTCAGGATGCGTCGTCCTTATTAGAGAGGGAATATATCGAAAAAGTTCTTATTATAAAGAGAATATATCAAAATTTTGACCTGGATATAGGAATTGTCCGCCGTACTTATTGGTGTGGTGTCGGTATTGAAGAGGTGTCCGTAAGGAAAGGTTCAACTGTACCATAAGCGCTTTTGTATTTAACAAAAATCAAACTTTTTCTAGATATTTTTATAACATTAATCCCCTCGTGTTAGGTAGGTCAGTCTTCAATTTGTAGGTTATTTCATCTGCTATCCTGATCCATGGTCGTAAGTTAAACGTTTCAACCAATTTTCCAGAGGATTGCTTAAGTAATAAACAATCGTAAGGGACAGAGCTAAATTAAATTCTCTATATAGACGAGGAAGGGAAAATGCGAAAAATTCGTTGTCATTGATAGATTCTTTACATTGTATGATAAGGTAGCACATCTATTATGTATATCGATTTTCCGTGAACGTTTCGAGTAGTTTGATGCATAATTTTAAGACGCTTTAATTTCAGCAAACGTTTGAGCTTGGCGCACTCATTTGGACTAAAACTAAATGACAATGATTCACTTACATCTACACAAAAATGCAAAAATTCATTCGATCCATGGCTCAAATTGTTTATTCAGACTTTATCAGGGCCAAGTTTGAAAGGCCCTCTGTTTAGGTGAGCTCAGGCGGCATGATTTTGGCAATTAATGGGTAGAAAGAATGAAAACTAATTCATTAAACATAATTGAGATGATGGTTTTAAAGATATTATGAAAACATAAGTTTTCTGGAAATAAACAAGAAGTGCAAGGTTTAAATGTATAAGTACAAAAATAAGGTGATTTTCGTCGTTTTTACATTTATTGGCTAATTCAAGTAACTCGTGCAATTCTGATTAAACTTTACGCTTTCTAAATACCCTAAATCTAGCAATCACCGAAATCATTTTCACGTTTAAACTTGTTTAGACAAGTGTACTTTGTTTGAAGAGGATTGAAACATCTTAACCCCTTCACATCATTGAATCAGTATGCATATTCTCCATACTGGTCTCTACATATTTACAATGGTACCTATATAGAGAATTTTTCAACAATTCAGAGCTTCTCTGTTGACGGATCATTTCTCTGATTTTATGACCTTTATGAGTGATCATTTTCGTTATTCTCATGACCTCAACGTTTGATTCAAAGTGTTACTGTAAGGAGAAATAAGATATCAATCACTCTTAGTGATTAAAGGGTTAAGAGAAACCGATACAGAGTAGAATTAAAGGCGTTAGATGACTCATCGTAGCAACAGTGCTGCAATAGTTTGCGAGTCATCCCAAGTTCTTTTAAAAATAATGGTAAATGGAATGTATCGTTTTTCATGTTGCTTCTTTTCTTCAATTATACACTAACTTAACTTGAAATACTGACACTACTTGAATACTGAGGATCAATTAAGAAGCAACCATAGCTTACACTTACAAATAGACACCCACAGCTTGCCTACTGATATACACTGGCTTAAATGACTGTTAATAAATGAAACTCATAAATGTCAACTGCAGAGTAAGAAATGAGTATGGAAGCGACCTTCTCAGTATTGAAAGCATCTTAAGCAGTGGTGAAACTACGGCCTGAAAAAAAATCAGGCCTGCACAGGACTTGAACCCTTTACCTCTGCGATATCGGTGTAGCGCTCTGACCATTATGTTGGTTTCAAATAAACCCGAAAAGTATAAATATATGAAAATCATATATGTGAACTGCGGAGAAAGAAATGAATATGCATGAGTTCTAATCCCGTACGGGCCTGAATTTTTTTAGGGCCTTATTTTCACTACTGCCTAAGTGGTGTTCATTACTGCGAAGATCGCTTTCATATTCATACATTAACATGGTTGCGGCAGCCATAGGTTTTTGTAATTCCCTACTAATGTAAAAGTACCCTGACCAGCTGAGGTAAAGGTTCACGCATTAGTCCTGATAATGGTTTCCAATCTCCCCAAACGCAGCCATCTTCTCTATTAATGCTTTCAGCAAATCACCTACAGTGTGCATCAATTATTATGGTTCCTTTCACAAAATCATTTAGTTTTTATTTCCTGTTAACTTTTCTCGCTTCATAAAGGTAACACGTAATACCACAACTTTTTTGCTCACCGTCTAGTTGTATTTTGAAAACAGACCCTTCCATAATATAGGGCGGGGTGTAGTGTCTTCAATCCGTGGTTGATGCCATCTCTGCAAGGTTGAGGAGCACGTTGCTGAACGGTTTTCATCTGCCTCGTGTTATAGTTCTGTGACATTTTTATAATTATGAAGAGTGCGATTGCACACCTTTGGCATCATAGCTGAAACGCGTTTGCAAATTCCGGATTTTACGGCAACACACAAGGAGCCACAATTTGCAAAAAAAACCTCTCCAGATATTATACATAGAACAATAATTAAATTGTGAAGGCTTTCATTAATTTTAAAGCTATGAAACACGTTCGCAGGACCTAAAGCTTAAAGAAATCAAGCCACGCATCGTAAATCAGCATAGCGTTGTTTACTGTTTTAAATGTGATTTGTGTGATTCAAATTACGTCGGATATACAACGCGCCATTTGTTTCAACGCATTGCTGATCATCGATACTCTGCCATTGGTCGCCACCTGAGAGATGCCCATGGGAACATTGACTTACTCAATGAGAGCCAGTTTAGAATGCTTAAAAAATGTGGCACGAAATGGGACTGTCTTGTTTATGAAATGTTGTACATAAGAACAATAAGGCCCAATTTAAACACCCAGAGCGATTCCATTAGGGCCAAACTCTTTGTTTAACTTTTAACGCTTTGTAATTTATTCACCGCTTCATTATATATGTACTCGATTTTATTATTTTAGTTTACTTGATAATGACGTTCTGGAAACGTCGAAACGTCGTGTTATGCTTTATAATATTTTATCGCAGATTTTTATTGTCAAATTTATAAATGAGGGGATGATAACGATGGAATGATAAAACTAACAGGACTGGTGCTTACGTTAAGACAATTTCCTCCGTCTCCCCGTCTCCATGTAGCTCAAATCCATCTGAGAGGGAAACAAATGTCTCATCTCCGTTAGACGGATGTGTATTCTCCCTGCATATTCGCAAAATATCTTGAGGATATATAGCGCCATCTGCTCTATATTTTAAATGCTGCGCGGAAACAAAGCAATTTCAGCCAGTATCTCGTGGGTACTGTATCCTTGCACAAGCAAGCTAAAAACCCGGGGCGTTGCTTCATGATTTTATCGTAGAGTGCAGAGACATAACCCCATGTAGCACTTGTAGACTTATCAGCCACAAGGGCCAAGACCTGAAGTAAAATAGAAGGAAACCATACTCATTATGAACCAAATATTCACATTTTAAGACGCATCTAAATGAACTTGAAGGCATGTTGCACACTTGTGAAGGAAAATGAACCGAAGAAAAATAACCTCTTGAGAAATTTCTAGTCATTTTCAAAGGCAAATATCGGCCTTAAACGGTTATTTAGCTCAAACGTAATTCACAAATCAGTTTTTGGACTTGCCAATAGAGAAAAATAAAACATTTAAGAATCACCTTTAATAACTCAGATTCCCTTAACGACTGGGTTAAAAAATAACCAAACGCCGAAAAAGGTAGGAGTTAGAGGGGAGGGGATTACTTTTATCCCAATTAGGCTTACCTCACGTGGCGAAAGGGGTGTGTGTGGAAACAACCGATTTCAAAAATTTATCTACGAATTAAATCTCAAAGCACATGTATGTACATATAAATAGCAGCAGTTGGTGCTTTAAAATTGGCGTCAAACATCCGTCGTTTTGAACTTGAGCAAAATTTTTGATACAAGATATTCTTATTTTTGAAAAACCCTTTCTCTGGGGTTTCAAATATCTCTGAAACCATACACATTATCTGGAAATGGTCCTCCCTAAATTCATGTCAACGAGCTATATCAGTTAAAAACTTTTCACCGAAGCGGCGTGGTAAATACCCACTGCCAGCCACCGACACTGAGGTTAATATTTTTTTCAGTATAGATTAAAACAGTGAGATAATAGAACAAAACAAGAGAATTTTAACT